GAGTGCCCCGGGAGACCGAAAACGAGGAACGCCTCCAGAGCCCCTTGCCTCCAAGATCCATGGTTTCTTCAATAGCGGAACAAACAATGACATAAACATAGAAAATCGGGTCCGCGCGGATTTCTCGGATCGGCGCTGGGGCCCCCTGGCGGCGTCTCCAGCGACGCCCCTGGCGCGCTCCGCGCGCCAGGGAGGAGGGTCCAGCGCGGATCCAAGAAATCCGCGCGGACCTCCGAGTTTCTTCATCGCGGACCCGGAAAACTCAGGCCCTGGACCCGTCCTGGGGCGCGGTCTGACCAGACTCTGAATCTCGGGAGGGATCCAGCCGTGGCGACGAGAAGCCCCCCCCGAGGGCCCGAAGAAGGCCCCTCAAGCCTCCCAAAACCTCGCACCGCAGTCCGGGAACCTCGAGCAGGCCCACCTCGGGACCCATCCTCGTCACGTCGCAGGAGGAAGCAGCAGCAGCGTTGTCGGCTAGACTCGAGTGGCCCCAGTCAAGAGAGACAGTGGGTGCACGACGCGCTGGCCGTTGCATGCGATGCGACAGCGGCGGCGTGCGTGCTTGGGCTTGCCCCCCCCACACACCCCGAAAGCCGCGCACCAGAGGCCACTCTCCAGCGAACAGGTGGCGACATCCGAACCCCCATTAATCCATGGGAGGCGGGGGTAGGGCTCAGATTTCGCCGCGTGCTCGACGAATTCCCAACCATACCCACGCCGCCCATCGAGTTGCCTGAATCTGGGGTAACGAACAACGACATAAACACAAAGACTCAGTAGTCCGCGCGGATTTCTCGGATCGGCGCTGGGCCCCCTCCATGGCGCGCGGAGCGCGCCGGGGGCGGCGCCGGAGGCGCCGCCAGGGGGCTCTGGTTTTTCTTTGTTTGTATGTCTTGCTGGCTCCCCTGGAACCGTTGATCGGCGAGGACAGGGCTCGGATCTCGCCGCCGAGCGAAGGGGCCACCCCCGCGCGCAGCCGAAGCCTGGGGGGGGAAGCGCGCGAGGGGCTGCCGGCCTCGCCGTCTCCTCGCGGTCCAGCGGGGCGGCGGCGCTGGCGGGGCGCGGCGGACCCGACTCTCCACACGTCGCTCCTCGTCATGACCGTCGTCGTCTTCGCCGACGTCCTCGTCGACGTCGTCGTCGTCGTCCTCCTGTCGTCCTCCTCCTCCTTCTCCTCCTCCTCCTCCGCCTCCTCCGCCTCATCCTCCTCGTGGCCACCGCGGTCTTCGTCGTCTATCGTCGCTGACGTCCCCCTCCCCCTCCCCCTCCGACTCTTCCTCCTCCTCCTCATCCTCATCCTCCTCCTCATCCTGCTTCTCCTCGTCCTCTTACTAATGAGTTCCTTCTCCTGACAAACAACTCCTGCCTGTCGCACGCCAAGCGTTTCGCCAGAGACATCCTCACCATGTATGATCCTGAAGCTAAAAAATGGACAGCAGCTACACGGGTTGAGGGCGGTCCGTTTTGAAAACGAGGCTCTCGCCTTAGCGCCGCGCACTTTCGCTTTGAAAAAACAACAGTCTCACGGATTGACGGCGGTCCGCTTTCAATATGTGGCTCTCGCCTGAACGGCGCGCACACTCGTCTTAGAAATTTGCAAGAGCTTCACAAATGGAGCGCGGCTCTTTTCAAAATGTGGACCTCGCTTTAGCGACGCACTCATCCGTATTTGTTTGCATGAGTTCCAAGGACTCTCGTGGTTCACGTCCCAGAGATGGTTTTTGGAGGATTGTAGGACTGTCAGGGCGCAAGAGCTCTGTTGATTCGCGGTGTCGAAGTCCCAGGAATGGTCCTCTGGCACGATTCTGGATCGTCAAGACGCAACATTCAGGTTGATTCGTGGTGTTGAAGTCCCAAGAGTGATCCCCTGTCTGGCACAGTTCCGGATTTTCACACCGTTGTCTCCAACGGGGTAATTCCCTTAGTAAAAATTCGCTTGGAGGGAGGCCTTATTGCAACGTCGTTGATGGGTATTGGATTTACACTGGTCCTCCCTCCTCTTCCTCGCTCCTCGCTCCTCGCTCCTCCGCCTCCGTCACCTCCTCCTCCTCGTTCCTGCCTCATCCCTCATCCTCCTCTTTCTCCTCCTCCTCCTCATCATCCTCCTCCTCATGGTCCCCCCTCCTCCTTTCCAGACTTCCTTCTTCACCAAAGTTTTTGTGTCAAACTCGGGCCCTGGGACAACAACAAAAATGGCACTGGCAAGGAGACCCGAAACACCAAAGATGCATCATAAGACACATGGTCGGCACGGCACGGTCTGGCAACTGCTTCGCATTGTGAAAACGATGTTTTTTCCTGACTGGTCATGCCTCCACATCCCATGCCGCGTCTCACGTTGGATGCAGCCCGCGGCCTGGGAACTCTGCCAAAAAAATGCTCCCGTCCCAAACTGGGAAAGGGGAAGCCGAGGGCCGAGGCGCAAAAGCGGGGGCAGCACCGCACGATGTTGTGTTTGTTTTTTGACGGTGGTCAGACATGAGGTTCGGTGAATATTGCGTCTTGTGCTCCTGCTTCCACTCCTCCTCCTCCTCCTCCTCCTCCTCCTCCTCCTCCTCCTCCTCCTCCTCCTCCTCCTCCTCCTCCTCCTCTCCTCCTCCTCCTCCTCCTCCTCCTCCTCCTCCTCCTCCTCCTCCTCCTCCTCCTCCTCCTCCTCCTCCTCCTCCTCCTCCTACCAATCCCCCTCCCCCTCCCCCTCCTCCACTTCACTCCACTCCACTCCACTCCACTCCACCCCACGACTGACCCTTTGGGTTCGGCTGGGACCCCCGCGGCACAGGCCGCCCAGAGAGAGGCCGCGCGCGCGGCCTGCCCCGGCCACTTCCGCCCAGCAGCCCGCCGCCCAGCCGCCCAGCGGCGGCAGTGCCGCCGTCCAGCACGCTGGCGCTGGCGAGCGCGCGGGGCAGAGCGGCACCCGCTGCGCCCACTCCTCCTCCTCCTCCTCCTCCTCCTCCTCCTCCTCCTCCTCCTCCTCCTCCTCCTCCTCCTCCTCCTCCTCCTCCTCCTCCTCCTCCTCCTCCTCCTCCTCACAGCAGGGGGGTGGGGTGAGCGCTTCAGCTCACGTGGCTGATTTTCCCCGCGCCCCTTCACAGCAACGTATCGAGGAAAGCGCCCGGCGGCGGGGCCGAAGCCCCCCGACACGACAGTCAAGAGGGGGGGGGGGCGAGGAGAAGGGGAAGGTGCAAACGACACTCCCGAGCCCTCTCAAGGCCTCCCTGTGGTAACTGCGCACCGAGGTCTGGCCCCTCGGCCAGGCCTGGGTGAGCAGATGTGCGCGAAGACCTGGCCCAACAGTGGGCCCGTGGAGGCCTGGTGGTGGTGTACATTTCCCCTCTCCCGCGCGCAGAATCGGGAATGGCACGCCTGCTGGGTCTCGTGGAACCGCTGGAGGGCTCGGACCACTCGGCCACCAAACTTCGCGCATCGCACCCCGCGATGCGCGACGCGCGGCTGTCTTCGCGCCATCGCGCCAGCGTGCCAGCCCCCTGGGGAAGGGCAGCTGATCTGGCCGTGATCGCCACGCGCTAAGCGCGATTGCCTTCGCGCCACTGGGGGGGGACTCGGCCAGGGCCTCCCGAAACCCCTGGGGGGCTCAGGCCAGCAGCCGGTGCTCTCCGATTCCTCGCTGTCTTCCGGGGCGCGCGGGAAGACGTGCCGAGCACGCCCTGTGGAGCCTTCGAATCAAGCAATCAAGCGTGACGAATCGACGGTCATCCCACCAGGGGTAGGCGCCTCCACTCCTGACGCCGAATAGCTGCATACACAAGTCAACATGCTCGTGCAACTCTGCATGCTCTGCACACTGCAGCGTGTAAGCACGGACATCCACATGGAATATCAAGGCTCGCCTGGAAAATGGGTCCGGCGTCAGGTCAACATCAGGCCGAGGTGCGTCACCTCAGAAAGGCGCGCGATAGCACAAGGTATCTCTTCGAGAACCCTCGGTCTCCGCTCTCTGAAGCTTTAGCTAGCTCGCGCCTCCCATCATAAATAAGCTGCTGGCTCGTCTTTAAGATCTAAGCTAGCCCATACAGCAACCATGCCCACACGCCACCCCCCTGATGTTGAGCCAGAGAGTTCCGAGCTTGCAGGTTGGGAACCATACAAAGGAGCCATGCGTGACCTCAAGTGGGAGTATTCTGGTTGCTGAAAGAATGCATGTGCAAAGCAACGAAATGGTGAACAATAGCAACGCGGAGCGTAGCAACGCCTGGCAAATCATGGCACAGCATTGTATAGCACTGAATGGCACGGCATAGCATAGCGTGAAGTAGCATTGTATTGCTTATCACGGTATTGATGGCACAGCACGGCGCACCGCAACAGTGCACGACATGGCATCTTCGATCGCATCGCCCGGCGTTGTACATCATGACACTGTGTGGCATTGCAGGTGTAGCATAGCATACCATCGCGAAATGTAATCCGCCAGCCCCCGCTTCGCCGGGGACGAAGAGGCGTGTGAGCTCCCTGGCTGTCCCCCTGCCCCTTTCCCCCGCCCAGAGGGCCCAAAACCCTAGGATCCCCTACCTGACCCCATGCACTATGCTGAGGGTGACAGGGGGAGGAAAGGGGGGACCATTTTTGCACGGCGAAACGCAGGGGTTCAGCCGCAGGCATGCCACCCACAACATCCCTGGTAGAAGTTCCAGGAGGTAAGAAGGGGCGAGCAACTGAACGCACCTCTGGGCCAAGGGGGCCTCGAGAGGCGAAAGTCTTGGATTTCCAGCGTGCGCGTGCAATCGATTTTCGCGCTCTCGCCTGCACGGGCTTCTGAAAGCCCAGGGCAGCCAGAGAGGCCCCCCAGACCAGCCCAGTACGGCCCAAGAGGCCCCCAAGAGGGCCCAGGAGGAGGAGGAGGAGGAGGAGGAGGAGAAGGAGAAGGAGAGACGGCCCAAGAGGGCCCCAGGACTGCACAGGAAGCCTTTCAAGATAGCCACAAAGGCCTCGCAAAGGGCCTCGAGACCCAGCGGGGGAATTCGCAGGGGGCCCGGGAGCCCTCACCCATAGGATGGCCCGCAAGACCTCCAGCATGCCCCCGAGAGGCTCCCAAAAAGCACCAACGACCAGGCCACCCCAACACAACCCGAAGACCCGAATTTCGGGTTGGGGGGGTATGGGCTCCATTTGTGTTTTTTTCTACGTTCCCCGACCCCCCCCCCACACTGGAAATGGAGGGCAGATTGAAGCTTTCGGGTTGGGTTGGGGTGGTTTGGTGGGTGGTGACAGAAGGTCCCACAAAGGCCCCAGGAGCCTCCAAAAGGCTCCCAAGAGGCCGCCCCCGAGGCCTCCAAGAGGCCCTCAAGGAGCCCCGCCACAGACGCGAAGGGAGAAGAATCAGCAACAACTACGGCAGGCAGCACCACGACGAGAAGCGGTTAACAACACATACGAAATCGGGAGCCGCACACCTGCTCTTCTGGGGGGCGGCGGGATGGCGCAGGTCCCCTGAAAATGACATAGCCACGTAGCCTCGCGCGGCCTGGTAAAGCCTGGAACAGCAGATCACCTCACTGGCGCAGCACAGCATGCTTAGCATCATCCTCATCATTAGCCCGGTGCAGTGGAGGCCAGTCCAGAAGAGACCTTCCCCAAGAAACCCAATCCTAAGACCCCAGGACGTCCATTGATTTCTGGTGTGGGAACGTCACGCCTTCCACAGCAAAACCATCGAAACCCAAGAAACCCAGGGCAACCTGCAGGCAAGCAGCGTGTTTCTTGACATGGGCCTCCACTGTATGACATAGAGCAGAACACAGCCTGGCAAAGCACTGCACGGCACGGCACGGCACAGCTCGACTGGCACCTGGGCTCACGAAGAGAAGGTCAGGCAACTGTTGACTGGCAGCGCGTCTCTTACGCACCCTGAGATCCTTCAGATCAGCGATCTGGCCCTTGAGCGTCTCCATGGCGACTGGGGAGGCGAGGATTAATGAACTGATGGACTTCGGTGTCCTGGCATACCGAAGTCCATCAGTTCATTAATCCTCGCCTCCCCAGTCCCCATGGAGACGCTCAGGGGCCAGATCGCTGAGCTGAAGGATCTCAGGGGGCGTGTCTCTCCATGAGCAAAAAACGGAGCCCCTCTGGGCAGGTCTGGCTTGGGGTAGGAGACGGGGGGGACCTGATGTCAGAGCTTGCGGGCTGCCCGGCTTATCCGCTTTTCCTCCTCTGTCGTCCTCTTCCTCCATCGGAGGCACAGCGTTTGCTCGCCCATGCACGCGCATGCTTAGGCTAGTGCGCTGTGGCCCCGCCTGTTTACGGGCCAACCTCTGCGGTTCGACCGGGCCTCTGTCTGTGGAATGTGAGAGCCGACAGCCTGCTTTTGCAGGCCGCCAGGTACTCCTGACAGGACAGCAGGTCACGAGTGGAGGGCCTGACCACACCGGCCCTCCCCCGCCTGTCGGGGGCGAAGGGGGCGTGCGAGGGCGCGCGGAGAGCGGTGGCTCGCTGGCCCGCCACCGCCGCAACCGCCAGCACCGCCATCATCGTGGGCGAGTGCGAGTTGCAAGTGCAAGTGGTCACCCCAGGCTATTTACGCGAGGTGCATCGCGCTGAACGCGAGCGAGCAGAAGCACGGAGCTGCGAGGTATTACGCCCGTCCACTTGCCTGGGCGCGTGCCTCCTTGCTCCTGTCCACGCCACCAGTACTCTGCATACCCTACCCTTGCCCTGTCTCTCCACCGCCCGACCTTTCCTCTGCAAAGCCCACATGCACTACTCCCGCGACAGCAGTTTTGTCTTTACGGTTGAGATAGAAATGGCCTGGGCCGCGTCGTCGCAACTACAGCGAAAGATGAAGCTAAACTCTTATCAGAAGTGCTCCCATGTCACTAGTGGCCACCCACCTCCCTCTCCCTCCCTTTCCCCCCGCCTCTCCTCGAGGAGGACGAGGAGGAGGAGGAGGAATGAAGGCCAAGGGGGGGCCGCCCATCAATGATGACGAGCCTGAGTCCGCTGAGAAGGAACCCCATGCTGGAAGCGGAGGGAGTGGGAAGAAGCGAGGAGGAAGAGGATGAGGAGGAGCAAGTCTAAAGGTTCTGGTCATGAGAAAATAAGCAAGTTATCCGCGAGCCCTCTCGAAGCAAAAAAAGGCCCCGCCCACCCATCCGTCCATCCTGCCAGCCCCGATCCCGCGCCTAGCCGCCAAAGCACACCAGCACCCGGAAGGCGCGCGCGGCGGCGGAGGGGGGGGAACGACGACAGGTGACGGGGCAGGGCCAAACAAACTTGAGAGTCAACAAGCGCCCCCGAGGTCTTTATATCTGTCTACGGGCGCTTCCCCTCACGGATCCTCGTCAGAAAATACCTCACATTCAGGGGCAATATATATATGGGGGGGGACACACTTGACTCCAAGCTTGGGCCCCAATCTGTGGACACAATGCGACCCATAGGCACTGCAGCAGATGCACGGCCCAACCCGTTCCATCACATGCCCCAGGGTGTGAAACACCGAAGCTCACACTCCCCGACCCTTCCCGCGGCCTGGGCTCCGACGGCAATCCACCCCGAGGATCCCGTGGCCCCACGGACAGCCAAAGCTACCATCGTTGTCAACAGGCCCCAAGAAACGGCGAGCCCCAGACAACGTGAAATGGATAGTGCAATCCACCAAGGCCAAGCGCCAACCTAGGCCAGGGACGGGCAACACACACACACACACACACACACACACACACACACACACACACGGCCATTGCCCTGAGTGAACAGTCGTCGAATCCGCACGCACGTCAGACCGGGAACTTGCCCCATCTAAAGAAACCATGATCTTGGAATCGGAACAGAAGAAGTGAGCGGAGGAAAGGATCCGCAGGGGACCTCGGGCACTCCCGACAAGTCTCCAGTTGGCCACCCATGACCTCCTCGTGGCCCGCGCACCGAGCAGCCACTCAGCCCAAAAAACCGGGCACTCTCACGGCCAATCTCCAAACTGTCAGCCTGAAACTCGAGATTGGAATCCGATACGACCTGATGACACTTCACTCCCAGCTTTGCGAAAAAATCCGCCCATCCTCTACCAAACCACGATCCCACGGGCTGGGCGCCTCTGTGCAAGAACTCTTCAAAAAGGAAACGCGCTGGCTCCCACTCGAACACGGGAGGCTTCCAATTCTGGCGGCCATGGGAAACGTTAAACATCCGACGCCAAATATCAACGTGAGCACCCGTGTCAAACGCGCACAGTCGACAATTCTCACTGCACCGACCTTGCTGACGTGCTGCAGCTGATTTTTTGCGCTGATTTCTGCTACTGCAAACCCCGAAGCGGTGGGTATAAAAATATGAGATTTTCGCGTGGATGTTTGTTGGTCTTCCTTCCTGGCCCAAAGAAATCCTCACGAAATTCACCTCGAAATCCGAAGCGAAATTCTCCAGGACACTCGGGGCCCATCCTGTCCTTTTCCGAACGAAATCCGCTCTGCGACGTCGGCGCCATGAAACATCCGACGCCAGATATCAACGTGAGCGCCCGTGGCCAACGCGCGCATAGTCGACAAATCTGGCCCCCTCGGACACGGGCCCCAGGAGGTCTGCCACGGCCAGGCCCAGAGCCGGGGAACGAACGGAAATCCCGCAGCAGCGCATACCTCTCTCGGCGCGGCCAGCGGACTGGACGGGCCGAGGCAATGACCCGAGCGCAGCTCGGACGGGCAGACCCCCGCCGATTACCTACCAGGCCACCCCAACCCAACCCGAATTTCGGGTTGGGGGGGCACGGGTTCCATGTGTGTTTTCTCCAAATGTTCCCCGACCCCCCCCCACCCACCCACCACACTGGCAACGGAGGGCAAATTGAGGCCTTCGGGTTGGGTTCGGGCGGTTTGGCGGGCGGCGACCCGCCACCCCCATCTGGGCGGCAGCCCGTCCAGGCGCTGCGCATGCCCGACCTG